TTTTATTTCTTATTATACTCAAGGATGTCTCTTTAGCTTTGCTGGCTCTCTTTTATTTTTTCATATTTTTATTTTTACTCAAGGATTGTCCCCCTTGCGCTCTGTTCGCTTTTTTTTATATTTTTTTTTTATACAATAAAAACCATCATTTGACAAGCAACCCAAACTAGACTATAGGATGAAAAAGAAAAACGAGACTATATTATATATTATTATAAAATGGACGTTCCGTAGAGTTTAAAAAAGACGTGGGTTGATTGAGTTTAAAGTGAGCACCAAATCAATTAATAGGTTTTGATTAGACCTTTGTTATCGTATTGTTATTAAGGGAAAGAGAAAGGAACAATCAAGAGTTCGTAAAAGAATCAATGATTATATTGTATGAGTTATTAAGTTAACGAGAAGCTTTTATCAAGACTGATTTAAGTATGTAATGGTACTTCAAAAGAGAGTTGTTTTACTATACAGGGTCTTAATTACGTTATGATGGTTCCGATTAAGGATGTTTCTTAACGAATTTTAATAAAAGTAAATGATTTTGTTTGACGGAGTAAAGTGTGTACTGTTTCTGATTATAGAAAATAATAGAAGGTGTTCACACAAGGTCAGAAATATATAGAATGGTTCCAGATAAGGATGTTTTCTTATATATTTATACAAAAGAGAAAGTAGATATAGAAGAGTTTTTATTGAGACTGTTTAAAGTACGTATGTTACTATTCAAAGGAAAGTTGTTTACTGTACAGGATCTCGAGATTTACTGAATGGTTCTTATAAATTAAGATGTTTTCAAGTAAGTCTTTATAAAAAAAGAAGAAAAGAAAAAAAAAGAAAGAAATAAAAATAAAGAAAGAAAAGAAAAAGAAAAGGAAGTAAGAGCAAATATGGCTCGGTTATAGTAAGTTTTGTGAGAGTAAAATATGTCTGAAGTTTATTAAAAAAATGGAAGGGGATATTTATAATTGTTTTTACGAATGGTGTAACCATCGTACTTTGAAAGCTCTTAATTAATGTCTATGTTTGGTTAAAATGTTTTCTTACAATATTTCAATGAAAAAGAAAAAAAAACGAAAAGCAACACTAAAATTCCACCGTATTCATAAACGCAAGGTGTCTATCTTGACGAATGGTGTCTTGCCATCCTTGCCACACCGTATCATTGGCATCTTCTACCACACTGAACGGTACCTTCTCCACCATCAACAGGTACCCCGAACGTCCCACCTGCTCCACCAACCATTGTAAACGCCGTAAGGAGCTGTTGTAGTTGAAGTATACACCTCAAGTATCTGAACTGCAATAAAAAATTGATCAAAAGGACTGCTTTTCAGCGTGTAAATTATAAAACCCAATAGAACAACTTACTGCCAGTCCTGAAAAGTCGGTCGTAGTCGACTTATCTTTCACTGAGATTTAAAATTGTCTGCTTAAGCCTGACCACACACTCTCTGCGTTTAATAGCTCCAAGGTGCATCAACAATAGGTAAGACATTGCTATACTAATGGTAGTTTATTTCAGAGATATGAAAGCTACAAGAAGTACTAAATTAGTTCCGTATTTTAAGTTTTTTTCATCCTTAAATGAAGACTTTGAACATGCGTAATCAACGTTTAACAGCTGTAAAGCTGCCTTAACAGGTTGCTTCATTAACAGATAAGACTTTACAAAACAATCTGTTTATTTTGTATGATTTGGATATAAGGTACATTATCCAATCGACATATCTCAGTTTTTCTTTTTTTTTTTTTTTTTTTTTTTTTTTTTTTTTTTAAGGGACGCCATTGATATTTTAAATTGTCCAAATAAAAAAAAAGTCACTTCCTTTTCACCTTATTACAAAAACTTTACAATGGGAAAATCGAAAATCGCCTTATGGCGCGAAATGGAACAATTTAAGCGACAAATGCTTTTGAATCCCGGTTACGAACTTACAGAGAGTGAAATCGCTTCATTTCAACCCTCTCCTCCCCCAAGACGCCAACCACGTCAAAAAGCTCAGGCACCGAGTTACGACCCCATGTCTGAATACCCAGCAGACGATGACAACAATACGACCGTCGTCTTGCATAATTGCACCATGGACCCTACACCGGCTCCAGCACCTCGCAAGCGTCGACGAATCCGTATCCGTTCGTCTGTACCTATCGTTAAGGCTGTACCTGCGAAAGTCAGTCCTGCTGAAGCCAAGAAGGAAAGGGCCATCAGGTACCAGAGAAAACTGGAGGTTTTAGCCAACAAGTGGGGCAAAGTGCTTAACAACATGTGCGTTAACTACCTTGTTTTTGTTGGTCAGCAAGGTGGCTTGCCATCCACCGAGATTGTTTCTCCAGTTGCAATCGATTGCCAATGTGGTAGTGAAAAAGTACTTCTGACAAAGACCGTCAGAATGTACTTTTTCCATGGTAAAGAGCAAAATATTCGACAAAATACTAGTATACTCTAACCCTGAATATAATTTTGACATAGCCATCAAGGATGTATCAGTTAGTTACTGCAGCTGTAAGCCCTTGGCAGAAGCATTAATTTTGATGGGTATGTTTCCTGCTTCGCCCACAGACCCCAAAAATGCCATTCATTTGGGTTTGTTGGGCTATTTTAATGAAGTTCGAAACACCTTGAAGTCTTCTTCTGAGGGTATTACAAAGTTGTATAACAAATTACAAGGAAATCCACTGGTAATTAGTATCTTAAAATTAATATTCATATATCTAACCAATATTTTTGGGTAGACATCTTTGTCAGTGAACAATTTCCGTACTGTATTTAATATGTACAATAAGGTCATTTTGTTGACAGACGAAATGGTCAACGAGCGATCTTTGTTGAAAGATCAGGCGATGTGCTGTCCTGCTTGTCCTAGTGTATGTTTCCGTATTAAAATATAGATAAAATGAAATCTTAACCATCTTTTGTTTTTAGAGGGACTCCATCAACCCTATGGATCGCATTTTCATTACTATGGATGGGTGCTTTAGTATGAAATGTAATTCGTTTTTAAGGATTTTTTATATAAAAACATGTATAGACAATTTTTTTTTTATTTTAAAGCTCATATCATATACTATATGTTTACAGGTTTTAGAAAATACCAAATAAAGAGTACTTTCATCAGAAGGGACTTACTCTGCATGTAAAAAACTAATTTGCAATGTTACAGTGCGAAAAACCAAGAAATCGGAAAATGATCAAAATAGATGCAAAAACAAAAGGTTAAAAAGACAGTTGAAATTCACATGTATATAGAAACTTAATTTCTTTTGATCTGTATGGTTTTTGTATACTTTTATTAAGAAGAATATCGTATAATGGTCAATACAGACACTTCCTGGATATGCAGATCCCTTGGATTTGATTGGCCCTATTTTATTTTGCAAGGAAATGTAAAAAAAAATCACTGAATTGGTTGTATGATCAACCCAATGATATTATATACCTCTAAATTTATATCCACATTTAAATAGTATATTTAGAATATAACTATAAAAAAACTGAGATCTTTTATACTTGAAAACATTTATTATTCTTTGTTTTTGTTGAATATTGAAAAGCAGTAATGATCATGTGTGCTAAAAATAAAGCTAGAGATTGCCCATTTTTTTTAAAAAAAAAAGGAAATTCAGAAAAAGTGAGGGGGGTATCCCAAAAAAAAATCGGACATACAAGAGTAAAATTTTTTCATCCAATCGATGAATAATTGCGCAATCGAATCATTTGTTCGGTCCAATAGAATTAGATAATTTTTTTTCTATTAGAAAGATTACAGCCCTATACCCTGCGAATGTTTACTTTTTCCTCCCCTACACTTTTTAACTTACATGGCATCTCACCTTTCTAGCATCAGGTAGTTTTAACATAGTATTCAAGTTACTATTGTGCTTGAACCAAACGTATCAAAAGTATCGTGTTTACTTCAATAACGTCTTTATCGTTTCACGTTTAGGCGGCAAGATCCTATCGTTTAAATGAAGTAAGTATAATCTGTTAAATTCACGTCTCATAGAAACATAACTAAATTTTAATAATTTACTTTAGACAGTGTATTGCGTTTGCCGATATGGATGTTCCCTGCATGTCGTTGATCTCTGGTTAGAATGTCTCGTTCTGTTTGAGACATTGGAATTTCCCAGACGGAGGAACATGTACATGGGAAAGATCTGTTTGCATGCTGTACTTTGCAATAGCTATTAGTCAACACCATTTTGCTCAAATAAAATTCTGACCCTTATGTTCATCTGTACACATGTTTATAAAAGAAATACTACTTTTTTCTCTTTTCGCCTTTTACCTTTTACCTCTAACCTAACCTTTTAACCTCTTTATTATTGTACTAACCAAATCGATAGCTACGCATTATCCAAATGGCTATTTCAGAGACTCCAAACCCGGATGCGACATAGATAGAACTCGTTGCCATGTCTGTTCAAGGGAATTTTCATCGCCATCTAACAGAAACAAGCACGCACTTCGGTTCCACAATACACCCACCCCTGCGAATGTTGGAAGACCCTCATTAGGTGGAAGGAAACAAGCTAACCATAGGTACTACAAGAAAAGTACAACAGAACAAGTCAGACCCAAGTGCGCATTGCTTCTGACATCAGCAAGAGAAGAATTCACGGCTTTGGACAAAGGGTTCTCGTTAGCGTTGTATCGTACTTACCTTAAACAATAGCATTTACAACTCGAAAAGTCCATACAGATTATGACTCTCCCATCACTCAACCATTGGCAAAGCGACTCAAGCTACTGGGAATTTTTGACATTCGAACTCGTGATCCGTTACGTACGGAATTATGAATTGTTCTTTGAGCATGAAGTCTTTTTTAATTCGACGTCTCCCCTGAGTGTTATATATTCTAGCAATAGCTACTCTCGCGAGCATATGGTTGTTTGTCAAAAGTTTTGGACTACCCCTATGTCCAAATTTAATTGTTTACTTAGAGCTTACTGTAAAGCTTTTATGGGATATTATCATGCTCAATAATAAATTGACTTACATATTTTAAATCAAATAAAACATATTGTCTTCGCATTATTTTACGAAAGATTAATAAAGTCTTAAACTAACTTCCAGCCTTACACAATTAAAGAGAATAGTATACATTTTGTGTTTATTTTAAAGACTCATACATTTTTGTGCTTATTTCAAAGACTCATGGCATTCGATGCGCAAACAAATATAACATGCCATTTTTAAAAAGTAAATTTATTTTTAAAAAACAAAAAAAAACAAAACAAAAAAACATTTACCTTTAATGCTCGGCATCAGGGTTTGGAGGTTCTTCCATTCTCTCCTCCGGAAGAACAAATGAAATTTTGTTTCCATTTACGGCCCTCAGGACAGCCTTCATGTTGCTAATTGTTTGCTCTGAAGCGTGCTTTATAGGGATGCCCCGGGGCCAACCACGCATGAACAAGTCAGCAGTTCCATCACAAAGCTTTTTGTAGGGAAAGGCTTTTGCATTTTCCGTACCAGGATGTTGTTCTATTAAGTAATAGTTAGTGTTATGGCAATTCAAAGTGAGTAAATGACTTACGGTACATCTGCAAAAGTCTTTCCCTGTATTCTTTTCTTAAAAGATTGTCGCTCTGGTCGTGGACTCTCGCTATTAATTGTAATAGTCATGTAAGTAACATATCCATAAATAGTTCAAAGTGATACGTACCCTTTTTACTGGCCCTTTGGGCAACTCCCAGACGTTGCATCACATTGTCCTGGATTTGTTGGCCCAAATCTTGTTTCAGGCCATTACAGTACGCTATAGATAATATTAAAAAATTAATAATTACTTTTAACACTCTTTTTAGGCAGCCCCAACTTACCTCCAACGGAAAACAAGTTCAACACGGGAGTTGGGAAGCCATCTTCCGAGGTAGTGGGCTTCAATCGGACAGAGAGCAGCAAGAAGTTTGAACCACAAATGGTATTGTAAGCGGTCAAGTGATCTCGGAAGGACCTGAGTGCCCGGGAATGACGCAAATGCATCTCGTCCTCACTCAAATTGGAGTCGATCCGAGCACTCTTCACAAGTTCAGCCTTGTCTTCCGGTCCAAGTGCCTGGTACAATTGAGAGGCCTCTCTCTGGAAACTACCTTTTTAATATGTAAACAATCATGGTTAGTATTTAAGTGAGCATTTGATATAGTAAGAAAAGCTACCTTGAGGTTGGTCGCCAGAGGAAGAATCGGCTTTCTTTTCGGCAGCCAGTCTTTCAGTAAAAATATTGTAAGGACTTTTACGTTTGACTAAAATCAAAGAGGTTGCCGTATAATGAAAGCCAATCGAGGCCTCAGCCTCTGCCTTGGTGACATTTTCTTCTTTGACCAAGATTTCTGTTGTTTCTTGAATCATTTCTCTAATCTTAGCGTTAAGATCAATGATGCGTTGCTTGTTGATTTCTGAATAACTTTCCATTTTAAAATTTTTTTTGGTAAATAGGAAACGGTGAAGGGCAGCGAGTAAGCCCCCCTTGTAAAAAAAGAAAAAAAAAAAAAAAAAAAAACCACAGTCCCCTGCGGTGCTGGGTGCTGTCCGGGCAGATCAAATGGGTGTGTGGCATAGTGACCGACTGATTTGAACTGATTAGTCTATTGTTCATTGTGATCCGAAAACTCGACATCGTTTAATACTAATCTAGTTGTAGATATACTACATGTACAGTCGTTGTTATATTTTTAGAATAAAATTCTTATATCTTTAAGGCTTATCCGTTAACTTAGCACCGTTTAGTGCAGTTATATAGCTGTATAGCATGTTTGCAGCGTCATATTCTTCATATAAGTAGAAACAAAGGCGAGGAATCTGTTGAACTTTACGACCGCTATGTTTTCTGTAACTATAAGGGCATCCTCAATGACTTAAGAAAGTGTTAAGTATCAATGTAGTAATATCTTACAGCTACTAAACGCAGAGTGTGAGCCTTCAGGCTTGAGCAGACAGTTTTGAATCTCAGAAAATAAATGAAGTAGACTTCGACCGACTTTTGTGGACTCACCGTAAATTAATGTGTTAGAGTAGATTAATTTCGCTGCTAAAAGCAGTCTTATTGATTAATTTTTTATTGCAGTTCAGATATGTGTGGTGGAAGTATAATATTGTAATAATCGGACTTATTGGGACTGTTTTAAGAAATAGAATTGAATAAGAATTCCTTTTATTGATATAGAAATGAGCATAATATATATAGTGTTTTTCATAGGGGTAATTTGGCATAGGTTCGGCATAACGGTATTTATATAAGTGAAAATAATAAGTAAATTATCTTCGGCAAAGTATCTGGTAGAACGGGTGATACTTAAACCTCGGCATATATAAGTACAATTTATCCGTGACTTCGTATTCATTACAAATATGCATATACTTGGGACTTCTTTATTTGAAGTTCCGAGCCTGGTTTAAATATCAGGTTTTATCCTATTTTTAATAAAGTTCATCTTTTTTCTGTCTCGTATTTATACTTGTGTTAATCGACTATTTCAGGAGCGCACGACCCGGAAGTACTTGCTCCTCTTCCAGCCAAGACGTAGAGCCAGCGGAGAACCCCAGCGCATCCCCGCCATCCCGTTTTGCACGTTTTCCTCCACCAACCTCAACAGCTGCGCCCAATAGAGATATTTTTGGCCACTGGGAGCAGCCGCACAATACCCATGCCAGCGAAGCAAGCTCCCAGCTACCACGTCTAACCATCCTCCTCTTCCTGCAGCGACTACCACCGGCATCTTCAGCAGCTCACCTCGAATTCGCTCTGCCGCCGCTTCCAATGCCCTGTCACCACGAACATCAAACAACACCTCATCTACAACCGCCAGTCCTCTTTCCCCATACATGCGGTTAATCTCCCGTAGGATGTTTCCCATTTTGAATCGCACATCATCGATTCGTGTAAAGAAGGGAGCTTCTTCTTCTTCTTCTACCTCTTCTTCCTCTTCTTCCAACGCTGCTGGTTGTTCTTCCTGAACCTCTGGTAACGGATCGAGGTAGTCTAACAAGTTAATATCCGGTAGTTCCGGTGCATCAGATGCAAGGAATTCTTCTACGTTAAAGGTAGCGGGGTCAAAAGGATCCATTGTTTTTTGTGAAAGGAAGAATAAAAAAAAAAAATAGAAAACCCAAAAAAAAAACCCACCCAGGGCTTTTTATTCAAACCCTTTGTTTGCCATGTTAAATTGGATCTTCTATCACCCCTTCCCTTTTTTTCCCATGTTAAATGAATGCATGACTCATCCCATCCGTTTTTTCCCCATGTTAACTATGTTAAATGAAAGAATGACTCATCCCCATCCGTTTTTTCCCATGTTAAATTGGATCGTCTATCACCCATCCCCTTTTTTTCCCATGTTAAATTGGATCGTCTATCATATATCCCCTTGTTTTCATGTTAAATTGGATCGTCAATCACCTATCCCCTTTTTTTCCCATGTTAGATTAGATCGTCTATCATCTATCCCCTTGTTTTCCCATGTTAAATTAGATCGTCTATCACCTATCCCCTTTTTTTTCCCATGTTATATTAAAGATGGACTTCGGATATGTCATTTTTGACAGGGTACGCACGGCCATTGACAGGCCATTCAGGGTATTCACTTGCCATTCTTTACGCCACATCACTTTTTTAAGCTTTATCCAAAGGTTCGGGACCACACCGGTCGCGAACATACGAGGGAGGTCGGGACCAACGACGTCGAACAAGAGCGCGTCGGAACTGAGACCACGGACCCATCAGAGAGGTTCGGGACCAAGCTAACCGCGAACTGATCGACAAAAGATCACACTGTGTGGAAAAAAAAAGAGAGATTATTTGATTGGTGGGCCCGGTATGTTTTTTTATTAAAAAGAAGAGAGAGGGAAAAAGAGTGAGAGAGAGAGAGAAAGAACGTATATACAGTATATATAGGGATGTCATAGAGATATGTTTAAAAAACATAGAAGATGTGTAGTCATGGTCTGAAATACGTGTTTCAATGTCTCATTCTTTTTTTCCTCTTTGCCTTTTCTATCTGTTTAATAACAAGCGCTTCACGATCTCGATGGCATCACAATTGGCACGGACACGGACGTTCGTATGGTCGGTAGGGGTCAAACCAAAGAGATACACGTCTTGGGGACGTCGCACACGGCTGAGAGCCACATAAAATTCGCCATGGGAAGGCATGTCTTGCAAGAAAATCGCCACGGCCGGTAACGTCAAGCTTTGGACCTTGTGGACAGTGGAAGCCATCGCCAATACAAACGGAAATTGTGTCCTACTATAAATCGTATCATAGACATAATCACTTACCTTACCAATCACCCGGCTGTAGCCATGGGTCAAATGCCGCAGTCGAATGTAATCGTCGTCACAGACCTCTTCTACCACCGCCAAACATCCATTCGTCCATCCGTGTTCGACATCGAGATTGTAGGTGAGCATCACGGTGATGTCCTTCTTGAGCAATAGCATCTTGGGAAGTCGCGTTTCCAGGTCGAGAATGCGCGTGGCATCGGGTTGTGAGGGGGATAATCGACGGCATCATGTCCGCTATGATCGGCCGGTAAAGCATCCATCATGCGGGCATTTTCCAGGTGCGCGAGGTGGCGCGTGGTATAGAGTCGAATGGCATGGCGGGAAATATCTCGCTTGTCATAGCAACGTTGTCGAATAAACCCTACCACATGCGGGTTCAACTCGTAGACGCGAATCTGATTGAGAATAGCTGCATAGTCTGAATAGCCCTCTTGACGAATGGGTTGGGTCAATTGCAGCTTGTGACCGTAGTGCCAGAGGGGGGATTGCCAGATATAACCTCCTTCTTTCTCTGCTTCGACTGGCAGTAATTGGTCTATATCGCCAAAAAACACAAAATGGATTCCTCCAAACGGGGCATTGCGATTCGTCACTTCGATCAAGGTGGAGGAGATATGGTGGAACATGTCGACAGAAATCATCGAGAATTCATCCACTAAAAACACCGACTTTCGGTACAGCTTGACATGGTCATTGAGCTTGAGCTTGTTCACTTCGTTACGCTCATTTGTCATCCCCATAAATCGATGGATGGTCTCGCCGTAAATGTAGTACGCAGCAACGCCGGTGGGTGCTAATCGTTCCACATGGTAACCGTGTTGACGGTAATAGGTATGCAATTTGGGAAGCAAGTAGTAATTACCGGTACCAGCAGCGCCAATCACAAAGTGGTACGTCGCGGTGAGATGATCCACAATTTGCCGAAAAACAAGGTCTTGCTGTGGGGTCAAGGGGGTATTGTACATGGCTTCATACTCACGGATATGCTCGCCTGTCATTGTCTGGGGGACTTCACCGCCTTCTGTCATCTCGATCTCTCCTCCTTCCACGAGGCTGATAAAATACTCGTTCCAAGTACCGCCACCACTACTGGTGTTGTTGTTGTTGTTGTTGTTGTTGTTGTTACCACCACCACTGGTAGGTCTTAATCGTTGCGTTTTAGCCGCTTCAAACGTCGTTCCAAATACAGGAATACGGGTCACCACTTGCTGGTAATAATATCCTTCACTATCCTGACATGCCTTTGTATAATGGGTACGCCATACGCGGGTGTGTCCTTCAGGATGAGTCGAAATGCCCTGTCCTTTGATTTGATCGCCTTGGGTAAGGGTACATCGTGGTAGGCGACGGTATGCATCGTCTGGGTCATGCCTAGCCAACGTCGTTTTTGAACGCTACCGAACACCTCGTAATAAAAGCAAACAAACTGAGGTAATGTCAAGTGGGCACCGCCTTCACGGGCGTCATATTTTTCAAGAATACTGGTACTGTAAATATCCGTCTCGTCTTCATCCAAAGCCCGTAAGTCCGATCGCAACTGGCGTTGATTTTGATAGGGTAAATTCGTGGGGATAAATTCCACTTGACGCGAGGAACGATGTTTTTGAAATCCCAGCACATCATACACCGCTTCTACTGCACCTACCACACGCGATTTTGTATGTTCAAACGCCGTCATCGTGTCGAGTCGGCGACGTCCTCTTCCTCCTCCTTCTTCTTCGAGGCTAAATTCCACATCATGGTCGGTTTTGGTGAGGTATTTGGCCAGATAGTACATGGCAGCTTGGCCCAGATTGACCTGGATATCCATATTGCATTCAAACATGGCCAACAAAAATGGACAGTACGGATTGACGTACACATCGGCCGCCGTGCGACGGTAATGACATTGATCGTTTTCGATATAGGCTTCCTCCACCGGTTCCTTGGGATAATGAAATCGACATGGCTTTACGGGATTGCTGTCTTGGCAATATCGGATATTGCAGCGATGGATTTGATGACGGCTTACCAACGGATAGAGAAGATCGTCTACAGGTGGTAAACAGGCACAGACAATGTTTTCATCCATCAACAGTTCTTGGGCCGTACGATGGGTCCAAAGTACCACATGCATGTGGGGGCTTCCTCTATCTAAACATGGGAGAGGGGGTGGGTTGGT